GCTTAAAAGGGGTTTAAGGTCACGTGGTGACGAAAAGAAACGAGTTATATGCGACGAGTGAATTCTCATAGTCGCTAACGGCATACATATTTGGTAATGGACGTGTTTTCCGAAGGCTGAGTATAGGATAATACGATATTCGTGATAAGTTTCATAGTGAGATTAAAGTATGTAATAATGGATTGGTCATTTCTTCCTGTTCTTTCGTTCTATGGTTTTGTTACTGTTTTTGTCACTTGAAGGGGTAATAATCTTCGAAATTGTGTCTCGAAATGTGTATGTACAGTACTTTATTTCTGGAGATCCGTCAAACTTTTCAGGGACGCGTGGTCTTAACTCCTCAAAATCATTCGCCCGAAAAACCGTCTATGAGATGTATTTTTTTAAATAATTCTGCGGTAAATAGATGGTGTAATTTGAGTGTTAATAAAAAGTTGAAAAGATGACATTTTTATTAGTCATGATAGGTGAAAATTAGTTTCCGTAACAACGCAATAAAATGTGTTATTTGTTCGTATTCGGCTGTGGATAAACAGCTAATTTCATTTTATCAAATGTATTCCATGAGTTCATAATTACAGATATGTGATAGGAGGACTGTCTCCAAGAATGTGACAAAGCTGGTCAGTATCTTCGACAGTAAATGCGAACTTGAACAAGACGGCGTATCACGTGACCAATTTATCAAGACCTTTGTTATGTAAATCAGCTACAATCAGTATGCTAATTAAATTCAATTCATTTAAATATACGGTGATTCGTTAATGCTGTAAAAAGACTGAAATTTCGCACCTAATGCATCGCGCACAGTAAATTTCGACCAACGGCAAATAACAATTGCAATATATTGATATATAATCTAAGATTTTTTGAGAAAAAAAATCATTTCCCCCCCTTTTTTTTTATTTTCAACGCCAACTTAGTTCACTTCTCGAGAAATAAACCTGGTTTAAAAATGTCTGAACAAGATTTCTATGGCGTCGGTATCTTTGACCATAAATATAGCACGACGCCGAAACGTGAATATGTTCATGTCTGTCTGTCTGTTTGTCTGTTTTTGCATATGTCTTGCAGATACAAACATCACGCCAACAACATTATCTGGCAACGTGACAACCAGTCATTGCTATTCGGTCTTTGATGCGGCATTTTTTGTCAATTCAAGCGGAAAGTGGGTCAGTGATTATTATCCAGGTGCCCCCAAAAGCGTATTCCAAACTAGCGCTCATATACTATGACGCAATACGTATCGATGAACAGCAACCTTGAAACGTTGCCAGAAGTCGCACCAATATGGGTAACTATGTCACCGCGGGAACCATGCAGTTTCTGTCATCACCTCTGACACTAATCTAACCTTCTTAATTCTGAATATGTGAGACCACGATATCAATTATACGAGATCAGTGATAAGCGGCTGTAGCTAGTGATCGGTGGCGGAGGGGGGGGGGGTTCTTGACAAGTTGGCAATATAACTCTTAAGCGCAATTTGTTCTGAAGTGTAATTTAAGAAACATACCGCATAGTGTGCGTGAAATCGAATATAGTAGAGTAGGATTGTTTGACCCGAAGGTGTTGTTTAGTGTTTACTTTAAAAAGCCAAGAAATGTGGGTCACTTCATGTCGTGTATTAACGAGAATAGAGCCGTGTTTAATGTTTTTAATATGCTTCCTCACGATAGAGCACAATCACCTTACACAAGTTTATATGGGATATGTCTGATTCAGATGATGGAACGGATGCAGTCCTTTGAGATGGGCGTTGCCGAAGTTAAAAATAAGGCGTCAGTATTTCGTTAGCTCTTCCCACAGCTCATCCTCCTAAGCATGAATGCTGCTCGAAGAAATTTCGTTAAAAAAAATCGACACGTTGTAAGTTTTTTTTTCGGGCGTGAAAAAGTATATCCGAGCCAGTACAAAATGTTGACCAGCAAGGTTTTTAGTCTGAAGTATTATTAGTTTTGATCGTGTTTGATTAGTATACGGCGGTACGGCGGATTGATTGTCTCACAGGAACTGCACAAAAAACAAGAAATGTTGGTAAAAAAACAAAAACGAAAAAACGTGCGCTGTGTTTTAACGAACATGAATAAACTTTCATGCGTGCTTCTAACTGGATTTTATTTTTGACCCCCGGCGGTGGCAGAAGTTTGTAAGTGCTTTTGTAGACAAAAATCGTAGGTGAACAGGTGGTTCTCGGTTCATCGAAGTCGATACCACTTTCACAGTTCACGGCGAAGTTCTACCGACGTCATGACGTTGCCAAATCTCCATTTCTGGTTGTAAACATAGTATGTTAAGCATACCTCACATACTATATTGTACTGTTTACGATTCACAAAAATGCAACGATGAAGTTCACGCGAATGTCACTATGATCACGCGGTAATTCGAGATATGCGAACTAATTTTTTTTTCACTGCAATTTAAAAAAATATATATCTGTGGAAGTGGAACCAAACAATTTGGGCTAAAATCAAAGTAGTATAGCAATGAACAAGGTACAGTTCAAAGTCGGTGTTCTGTGATCACCATTTATGATTATCGTAATTCAAAACGAGAT